GGGTCTAAGTAACTGGAACGACGCGAATTTTTATGCGCCCAACAGCGACGGCATGTACAATTTTGATACTTCATCTAATTCCTTGAACTGCGAAGATGCTAAAAATCTAAACCGTAGCATCGATCTCATGCCTACTTTACCGCACTTCCTGCATCCGGCTCGCATGTGATGTCAATAGGTTGTGAGCTGTCATTAAGCCAACAACCGTCCTGTAGTCTTTTCGAAACCGCATGAGTAAAAGGCAAGCGTGCTTTCTTTCGGGGATCTTACACATAATCTTGGCGATCCTGCATTATCCTTATCCCCTAACCCTGGTCCGTCTGTCAGCCCTTTTGGAAATTTTTTTGTATATCGTTTTTAGTTGCTTCCGTATTTCCTGTACTGATAGATAACCAGACGAATGGCGCTTTTAAAAATCTCATTAGCTATTTAATTTCCCGGAATTCCTATGTGGCTTAGAACCCAGTATATATGCAGCAGCTTTCCTTCACCCACTACATCTATTGCTTCTCTGCTTCTAAAGACATTATCTTACGTCCAAAGTTAAGCATTAAGAACACTCAGACGAGATATGTTTGCAAATGTAAGCTCCTCTAATTTGTTTAAGAAAATTAAAATCAATACATTCCTTCCCTCCGAAATATGTTATCACAGACACTGGTCCATACAATCCAAATTATCGTACAAGTATAAGAATTTATTTTACAAAACTTCTCTAAGTCTACACAAAGCTCGATGTAGATTAAACGCAATTACTACCTTAGGCTAGGAACATAGTACACATAGAACACAAGGTGACAATATCTCAATAATAAATTGAGTAATTCGACAGCATATTCATAAACCCTCGTCTTGTCACCAGTAATCATACGTTCAATGAACGGTCTTCAGCTACATTGTCGAGCATCACTTTTACGACCACTACTCGATGTCATTTTTGCAAAAGATTCAGGTATTTTGGTAGCATTGACATCCGCTGCTATCTCTCTGATAGCAACACGAATATTTTTAAGCACTTTTACGCTCATTTTTTCGATGTTATCGTCATTAACAGAGGTGGGTGAACAACTCACATGAGGCAAGTTTTCGATGACTTCACGACCTTCTCTGCATGTTTTATGCCACTCAAATACACACTTGTATGTTCATGATAAAGTAAACTCGTCGAAATACTTCTGCCAGATTTTTAAGGTTTCCGTAGCCGTGATTCCATTGAAAACAAAAAGTTTCTTCAAACTCATAGGCATAGTAATAATGAAAGTTTTGCAGGCTTTTTCGTAATCATTTTAAAAGTGTCTAAAGAACTATAAATTACGTGCTATTAGTAATTTTTTATCTAAAGGCTCTGGTTTGACTATAAAATTCCTGATCTACCCAAAAATATAGCTTAAATTGTAATCACAACGAACTTTCGCCAAGTTATTGGTTGCTGAGGTAAGGTGGGCGAAGTAACAGTCTCGACCATCATAGAAATTAATCTCTTCAGACCTTAACGGCAGTCGGGTAGTCGTAAACTTTTTAGAAGGACCCGAAATTATATTCTGCTCATAAATTTCGTTCCAAAAAAAACAGCAATTTTGAAGAATGTAAACAGTAGTTTCCGGCTCAAAATTTAATTTGTTGAAATGTAACATTACCAGCACACAAAAAATGAGATCCACCCAAACCAGCTGATGCTTTTACCGCATTCAACTGCTACTTGCTCCACCGCTTCTCAAATCTAACCTTCATAATTTGTCAATTTAGTTCACCTATCAAACAATTTGTACAACTAAAAATGCCAACACTACACAAACGGCAATAAATTCCTTGTCAATTCAAGTTATACGCATGACAGCTCACTTCAAAACATAATGTCATTATTACGAGTTTACAAGTACCAACGTCTGTGTTTGTATGTGTAACTATAGCTGCAGTTGGTTGTCGTACACGTGAGGCTTGTGACTTGAAAGCCAGCGCAGCTTAAAGAAACGTTAAACATTAAAAGTACCGCAACAGCCAACAAAAGATAATAAGAACAACAACAACAACAACAACTCACTAAAGGTATGCATTTCAAGTGATCGAATTCCTAAACTCAAACGTCAAGTGTGACAGTCGCACACCCCTTTTTAGAAGCGCGATAATATACGCACTATTGCTACATTTAGCACTCACACACATTCACATACATACACACATACATATATGTACCTGCGGTGCATTGATGTCTTCGCTTTTTGCAATGTTCTTTTGGCGACCCACTAGGCGCGCCGCTTAAGAGCGTTGCCAGACTAAACTCGTAGGTGCTAAATCTAAAATTAAATTATCTGCAGTTCGGCCACACCCGCTCGTCCTTCTTACCCACCGCCCGCTTTGCCAGTCACATTTGCTTGGCTTCTTCATGGCTCATTATTTGTCTTTGTTATTATTTTTGCATAGTTGTTGTTGTTGTTGTTGTTTTGCTTGCCTACACTATCGCTATCGTCATCATATCGTTTCGCCACCAATGCGCTGCTGACGCTTTGTTTATTGGCTTGTTTAGCTGCTCATTTGCCTCAAGTATTGATTTTCACGTCGTCATTGTCAGCACCTTGTGGCAGACAACAACTTCCGCAGCTGTCGGTGCTCGACGCGCACGTTTCCCTATCGCATGTCACGAGCGTGTGTAGACACATACTACTATTTATACTCTTATTGCATTGTCTTCAGTGTTTTCTTTAATGTTTAATTCTGTAAATAGTGTTTAATTGAATTCCATTGAATTGTGTAGACAAAACGCCAATAAACACCTGCAATCCTAATTGCATGAGATTCATGATTGTGTTTGTTTATTTTCAAGCTTTTAACCTTAACTTTGGCATTTCGCTCAAACTGTAAGGAAGATATTTGCGAACCATATTAGCGCGTAGCATTCGAAGTGAGATTTTTTTAGCGATTAATATTTATTTGGCTTTGACCTTGATAGTGAGCTGCTACTTCCAGTGCTAGTGTATATTCGCAACAAATTAACTGTCTCCGTGATCACGCAGCACAACTCTCTACTACTTACAGTTCATACAAGAATTATACTTTTCTTCAAATTTGAAATCCTTCTGTTATTGAACTCTCCGATCCGTTCCAGCTCAAAAGTTATCCACTTTGTATATATTCGCCAAGTCTCGAGATTTTTTTGCGCCTTTTTATTCAATTTCACTTTATACAATATATTACAATATATAGTATTATATCTTACCTCGTACAATTAGCTCTCTTTGAATGCCATAAATATTTTATTTAACTTACACCCTACATCTAATTTTAAATTAATCGTCTGAAAGGGTAATATTCACTTGCAAGTCAGTAATACGCATTACGATATCTTTTTACTAGGCATAGATGCTATCTGAGTTTCATTACCTCACTCAAAATATGGAACCGATATTTTCCATTTCAGACAACACGACATATTATTTCCAGGAAACGACAACATCATTGGCTTTCAATTTATATACCTCAAAGTTAATTATACGAAATTTTAAATTATGTTATATGGTAAATAGGCATGGCTATAGCCCGATTTCGCCCATTTTACAAAAAAAAAAAAAAAAAAATTATACCATGTTCAGAATTTGATTGAAATTGGTGAGGTAGTTTCTGAGATATACGATTTCAGATGGAGAGTGCCACGTTCAATATGACGCCGGCTCCAATGGAGCGCTTTTGTGCTATCTTGTATATAAAATTTTATATCTCTGAAACATTAACTTATTGAATTATCGCACTTTTAGTAGTTTTCAACATAACCGTTATATAGAGAGTGGGCGTGATTACCAACTGAATGAACCGATTTTCACAGTAAAGAAAGAAGTTTTCAAACGATTTTCTTTTAGCAAGTTGACTTGAAATAGTATAAGTAGTTTCTGAGTTGTGCTCTATAAACCATAAACTATAAGCGCAGAACCAAATCCTCTTTTTAAAAATTTTCAACCCACAGATGCACCTTTTATACTACGATACCTTGTACCAAATAACGGTTTTGTATATTATATATATTTTCGTTTAACAGCAATTTGTGGGTGTGGCAAAGTACCGATTCCGACCATGTGCAATACCGAACCCACTGGGGTGCCAAGGAACATGTGTACTAAGTTTCATCAAGATATCTTGATATTTACTCAATTTATTGCTTGCACGGATGGAGAGAAGGTCAGACGGAGAAACATACAGACACTCGGAATTTCAATCGTTTTGTCAACCTAATCATTTATATATAATATATATACAATAAATATAACTATATATCTATCTCGAAAACTATAATACTTTCTAGCAACATTTAAAGCTAAACTACAAAACTAGTATCTAAAATAAACGCAATAAAAGGTGTATCATCGTAAATGCTCCATATTTCGTAAGATGACTCCTTAATACACTACTTTCTGCTAGCAAGCTTCGATTTTATCTTGCAGTCTGTTCGAGTTTTTCCATCGCCACTTTAAGATCTATTTTGAGAATTGCCAGACTGTGATTTGCTTCAACTCGAAGTGAACGCACTCATAGAAAATCGTACATTGAACTTCTCTGTCAAAGCAAATGTCTGAAGCGTAGCGGAGCAAAAGTTTTATGTGAATCAGCCATAATTTCGCTGTATTGTCTCTGTTTTTTAGAGTTAAACTACTTCTATCCATTTTTGTCGAATTATAAATTTTAGATTCACCGGAAGCACGTTGAAGATCTTTCTATTGCCAAGGGTTAATATTTCCTAGGTCCAAAGTTCTAAGCACTGTAGTATCGTTAAATTTCTGAATTGACAGTCAGTCCTATCCAATTGTCAGACAGTCCAACTGCGTTATGTTTTTGGCGTCAAATATTCGTGCTGCTGTGTTTTTAGTCGAAAATCGCTTGAGGAACCTATTAGCTTTAGATTGTCGTGGAACATATTTTTAAGAATAAGCTGAAAACATTCCCAAAAAACGCCAGATAAAAAATATTTAATTGTTTGTTTAACGGGTTTTGTAAAATTATCTATAGAAAATTACCTTTTTTCGGATAAAATTGCTTCAGATATATTATCAGACTTCGACCTATTCCTGTGACTTTAGGTTTTGTAGTAAAACAGGCCTTTCTTAGCAAATGTAAATACTAGCTATTTTTGTAAAGTAGATTTCTCGACTTTTAATATCTAATTAAATATATTAATAATAAAAATATTTTCGAACTTTCGCTCTGAAACTTGGCAAATTGCAATTTACACCTCCATCAATTGAAATGCTCTGCCGAATGGTCGAATGTAGAGTTCCAAAGAGCCACGAAATGATAACGGTAATTTGCTGGAAAAGGAAAACCTCTTATACCATTAAACATATTTATAAATGAGTAACCACAACTCACCAGAACATATTCGCACCACCCCACCAGCCCTGCAATGCCAACATCGGACAACGATCCTCATAGCGTTGCTTCTCTTCAGCATCGCTCACATTAAACTCCACATAAGCTTTATCCAAATAAGCGCTCAACCAATTTTCGGTATTACCGACGAACATGCCCAAATTCTTAATGCGATACGCCTCCGTTACGTTCCCCATTACGAAATCGTCATATAACGCATAACGCAGATATTGCGCATCACCTTCGTCGCGAAACAGAGCCAATAGCTTGACGCTTTGTAGATTAAGAATAAACTGCAATAACTCCAAACCAATGAAATATTGTCCGCTACACTCGAAACCTTCTACGTGCTGCTCCCAAGTTTGTGGCTTTGTTTCAGTTGTAGTGCGCAGCAAGAAGACGCGCAGCCAAGGCTGATAGTCGTCAAGACCCTCGAAGACCTCGTAATATGGAAAGGTAACAAGCTCAGAGTGTGGATGCTCAATTATGTGTCCAAAAACGTTGTAACTCAAGGCGATGTAGCCGCCAGCGCCTTTCAAGAAATGACGCACCATAATGATGGACTGCTCGTAGGAGGGGGCTGTAGGTTAAACATTTATAATATTTTGATTTTTTTTAACAATTCTGTGTTATATTTTTGTAGAATTAACCTTTTTGTATTTTAATCTGCGGTGTTTCAATTTCATTTGAAAGCTCTTCTAAAACAGCTGTTTGCTTTGAGTTATCAGTATTAAACATAAGTCTCGTTACTACAATCCATACCGTTATTTGCACTGCCACTATGAAAAATAGAAGATATTTTATGAACTTTTCGCACATTTTTTTCATAATAAAATTTTGACTATTTTATTAAAATTAACCGGCAATAATTTTATAAGTATCACGAAGAGACCTTTTTTGAACTACACTAAAGCTGATGCTGTGTATATTGGTGAGATTTGCAATATTTATCATATAAATTAATTTACTATATAAATTAAAATTTCAAGGTATTTAGTTCTGAAAAGAAAAACAACAATTATACAGGGTAGTAAGTTAGATATCATCGAAAATTTAGAAATGTTTCGTCAAAGCTGGACCGGCTCTAACAAATCATGGACACTCAAGTTTAGAAAAGGAGCTTAAAGCTACTGACCATTAAGGAGATTACCTGACTTTATTTTTGCAAATTTCAGAAATCTGCTGGATTTATATTAAATTTTATAATTACTCTTCCTGCGGCCAAAAAAATTCATTTTCCACTGTTGAAATACCAAATATCATTGGCAACATCTGGTATTAATAAATACCATCCAGAAAATTTTTAGTGCAATATACAAATCCCACTGTACAAGTACTTAGTGGTCGGAACTTCGGACAACATTTCGTTCTTTTTCTTAGATGAGGCGCATTTCTGGCTTAATGGCTTCGTAAACAAAACAAATTGTCGCTATTGCGGTGAGTGAAATCCTCGATTGGTTCAGGAAACGCAATTGCATCCCAAAAAGTAGACCGTTTGGTGCGGATTGTAGTTTGGTGGCATTATCGAGCTTTATATTTTTCGAAATGAGGCAAGAAATTTCGTTTTCTCTGGGCGTATGTTAAATCAAAGGTTTACGCCAATCAACCAGCAACGCTCGAGGAGCTCGAAGACCAAATTTTACCAAATTTTCATAAAACAATGAATTAAATTTCATTTTTGTGAAATGTTTTGTGAAAATGTTGTATTTCTTGTCTGTACACATTTATTGTAATATTGCTGGTAGAATAATTTTCTTTCATTTTTAATATTTTTAATCAAATAACGCGATCGAATCAGAACTGTAAGTCTTCAAAGTCTCAATCGAATTATTTTTAGATTTATTAAGTGTTAAAAAAATTTACTAAAAAAGCTTTTTAAATGCGCGCAGAGTTAATTGATTTTAAATAATTTTAACATTAATAATTAAATTATTTTAAAATCAAAGTATTTATTTTTACATTTGTTCAAATACTTTACAGAGATTTTGACATGCTAATGTTGAAAATTTTATTTCCAGCTACTAAATTAAAAAAAAAAAATTGGTTCGAAATTCGTATTTCGAGTGCTTCCGACTATGCTAAATAAACCAGTGGCTCTCCAATCGCTTATACGTATTTAGGTACGCCACTGCCTAAAAGTATGCAGCGACTGATGGCTATTGCGTTTAAGTGATGGGAACAGTTTAGTATATTGCACTGTGTGACTAGGAATGGAAAACATCAACGAAATAGTGAAATTGTCAAAATAAAAAAACAATAGTATAAAAGCATTTCATAATATTTATAAACAAAAGTATATTTAATTGGAAGTTAACTTTATCTAAAAAACTTTTGTTATAGTTTATTATTATAATTATTTCTGAAAGCAAAAATTTTACTGTTATTTTAGAAAAGTTAGGTATTGAAACTGTGCGTAAACAGCATTTATTTCTATATTAAGACAGTTATTAAGGCCTAGGGGTAGGAATTTAATATGTGGATTTTGGAAAAAAAAATGGAAAAACAAATTTTTTTAAATTTTTACATTTACAAGTCATAAAAAACGCCTTTTATCATTTTTAGTATATATTTTTTTTTTTTTTTTGAAGAATCATTTTAAAAAATTTAGGATTTCCTCGAAAAAAGATGTATGGTGGTGAACAAGATTTTGCCGCTTTGTACTACAAAACCTAAAATTCAAAAACCAAAAAAATTTATTATCAGTAAAAAAGAATACAGGTAATGATCTAAGAACTAGTCAAAATTTGATTATTGAGAAAATGGCGGCTTCCCAAAGAAAAAGTTTGTTTTTATTTTGTGAAAAGATGTGCATTTCATCGCAAATATTGTCAAAAATCTTATTCTTTTCTTCATTACCTGACAAATATATATATAATATATATGGAGGTCGTATGAAAAGTCGATCGATCCAGCCGTTTATGAGAAATTAGCTTCACCTACTTCCATCAGCACCTAATTTTTATTTTAAAAATAGAATTAAGATACATACGTTTTAACGCTTAAATAGCATCCACAAAAGGTTTTTGGGTTTTTTATTTTATTTTTGGAAGTTTTTTGAAATTTTGTTATTCTTTAAAACCTTTAAAAATTTGTTTTCCAAATTTTGTTATGCGAAAATCTACTTTAAAACACAAAAATCATCAAATAAGTATTACTAAAAAAACTTCTAAAGCCTCTTAAATTAAACAAAGTAATCAGCTTAAGGTCATCAGATCAATTGCCATCGTTTCGGTAGCGCAAACATTTAAATGGCGTTTATGAGCTCATATCACTGCAGACACATGCAACTTAGCATTCAACCAAATTGGCGCGCAATTTGTACAAAATGTCGCACACACATACATATACCAATGAGTGTGTGCAAAGATACGCCGAAAAATATTCCAGCGATCGGTGGAGCTAGCGAACTCCTAGCAATGCCCAAAAGCATCTTAACGACTTTAACATGCAGTTACTTAAGAGATACTTATCAGTTGTGTAACAACAAAGTTAGTAATATCATTGCCACATACAAGCACACACATCCCCACACTCCAAGTAAAGCAATTTGGGAGCATACCGCTTTCAAGTGATTTCCATAAAATGCCTGTTGAAGGAACACTGTGTGTTAGATCATGTGTTGCAAGGCGCTACTCACATTTTTACCCGCTTTAAGAGGCTCATGAGCATGCGAGTTCACTTGGTATAATTCTGTTGATTCAACCACTTCGGCTGCGGTCTCGTTGAAAGCGTGCAGCATTCAAGTGCTTTCTTCTGCGGTTTTGTTGTGATTTTGTTTCTTCATCAACACTTGTTATCTGCTTGTCATTGATATTTTCGTTATATAGACCAGCTACTAGCGCTACCGATTCGCTAAAGCGTGTGTATGTCAAAGGTAATATGAGAGTTTTGGGTTGTGCGGCATTAAAATTAGCTCTTAGTTGGTTTTTGGAATTGTTGTTGTATACGATTTTGGTTAGTGTTGAGTGGTCAGAAGAGAAGATGATTTTGAGGATCGATTTTTTACTGCGAATTTCGTTTGTTGATGAAAATTATAGATAGAGAAAATAAATAAGCGAAATAATAAATAAGCTTAAAGCTTGAAAGCTCTCCTGTACTAACTTATAGAGAATATAATTGGAGCTTACACTGTCGATCATATATTATTTTCGCCTAAATACTTTGTCCGCATATTGTCATCTTTGAACAAATAGAGATTCTTAAAAGCTTTCAGGCACCGCCGAACGGAAAGTATATTTTGAACAAAATAGCTGAATCTGAATATTTTTTTCGTTTGTTTTAGATTCTTAATTTTTTAAGTAAACGAAACAAAAGATGTCCTTAAAGCTTGAAAGCTCTCTAGTACTAATTAAATACATAACTTTATAAGGAATTTAATTGAACCTTATATTTTGACTGAAACCGTAGGCGACCAGTTTCCCTTATATAATATATAATATTTAGCCCAAATATTTTGAACAAATGCATGTTTCTAAAAGCTTTCAACCACCACTGAGCGGCAAGTATATTTGATATTAATATTTTCTGAAGATTACTTTCGTTTGTTTTGGATAATTTACTCTTTTCTTCTATAAAAAAATCTCAAGAAGAATGATCTAGGCATGAAAACTTCCCTCTTGAAGAGAGACCTATATATTTCTTAGAATACAAAATGTCACACGACAACATCTAATTTCCGTGACCTTTGTCCAATTTAAACAAATTAAACCAATTTTGATATAAAATAATTCAACATAGAGACATAATATCTTTCAATCGCCTTAATCATACATCACTTACGCCCCAAAAATTATTTACTTGGCGCCGCCATTTAGTTAAAATACTTTAACCTCAATCTAAACATTTGTTGTCGACACATCCTACGCGTTCATTTGCACTTCTAATGGGACAATTAAGCGAAAAAAACGAAAAACGTATTTATCTTCGCGTTTAATAGCTGCAGTGGCCAAAAATTGTCGTGTGTTGGCAGCACACGCTTTGCTGCAATATTCAGTGCGGCAGTTTGGGGTATTTAACGGCCCCCTCAAGGCTTTTTATTAACAAAATGACAGTTATCAGCACGCTAGTGCCGCTACGCGCACCTTTTGCCAAATAACTACATGCAAAGACACAAATACTTGTATATACGTTAATGCACATAGTTGGCAACACTTGTAAAAATTTGGTGACAATTTTTTTGGGGTTTATACAAATATTGCTTTATTTTTACCCACCTGTATTCATTCATAGTTTGCGGTGCCGATTACTTTTTGTTGAAGTAGAAAATGTTCAACGACAAATTTATATTGAAGCAACCTTGTCTTTTGAAAAGCCAAGGACTGCACACCTTACTGGAACTCCAAAATTTTGACCTGAAATGCATGAAGTCAAACTAAAATTAGTGAAGAGTTTAGCCGAGCAAATCTAGTAGAGTGGCTAATAACTATGCACTCTCTCAACCGAGTTTCGGTTCATACTCGTGATGCCCGGCCGTTATGGAAATACACTACTTTTTATACCCTGAACAGGGTATATTAAGTTTGCCACGAAGTTTGTAATATCCAGAAGGAAACGTTAGAGACTCTATAAATTATATACAATGCATAAATGATCAGCATGATGAGTTGAGTTGATTTAGCCATGTCCGTTTGTCTGTCTGTCTGTCTATCTGTATATATACAAACTAGTCCCTTCAGTTTTTAAGCTATCGATCTGAAATTTTGCACCTGTGTTTTTCTCACTAATATGCTCATTTGTCAGAACGGTCGATATCGGACCACTATAGCATATAGCTGCCATACAAACTGAACAATTAGAATCAAGTGCTTGTATGGGAAACTTTTTTGACAAAGTATCTTCAC